GGGGGGGCAATGATGGTCTTGGTGATCTTTGTGTGGCAGAGCAAACCTCCCCTTGGTTTTCCTAACCTGTCACGGGAGGTGGTGGTGAAGATGGCGGAAGATGGGCAATGCAAGGGATTTGCCTTTGTGACCTTCGAAGATCCCTCCTCGGCCAAGAATGTGCTGGACAACTATGACAACAACCAATTCGAAGGGAAGTGGATCGATTGCAAGCCCATTGTGAACAAAGGTAAAGGAAAAGACTTTGGCAAAGGGTTTGGCAAGGGCTTTGGCTTTGGCGGAGGATGTGGAGTTTTCGGCAAGGGCTTCAATGGATATGGAGGAGGAGGTTGTGGTGGCTATGGTGGATGCGGCGGATACGGCGGCGGTGGCTGCGGCGGCTATGGCGGAGGCTGTGGAGGATGCGGAGGTTGCGGAGGCTGCGGCTGCGGCGGCTATGGCGGCAAGGGTGGTGGCTATGGAGGCTGCAAAGGCGGCTATGGTGCTGCTCCGCAGGCCATTGGAGGTTGCGGTGGCTACGGCAAGGGCAAGAGCAAGGGCCCATATTGAGAGCAATACTTAGCACCTAAGGAGCTGTTTCACAATGGGGAGGACCTCCTACCTCCGGTATGAAAGGTCTGAGACTAGAGAGACTCAGGCCCTGAAAATGTGCCGAAATGTTGGTGATTTTGACAACACAAGGGTGGAAAAAGAGCGTGGCAATTTGTGAGAAGTGCTGCTGTCGCTGACATGTAGGGTTGATGCATGCAAATGCAATCTCTCGTTCCAAGCAGTGGAGAAAAAGATACATTTGCAGTAGTAGGTGAAGAACAAAAGGTATACCAGTCACAAACTTGCCCGGGTGACTTTCCTGCAGTGGCAAAAGATCTCGCGTGGGCCACGGATCGACCTGAGACCTGAGGTGTTGGCCAGTCGATTGGTTCCCAGAGCCTCTCCCCATGGAGAACGCTGCAGGGAGCTCGATCTATCTTCGACTGCAGCACCTCAGCCGCGACAGATTCACCAGTCTTGGGCTGCTTTCAAGGTGGCTTTGGTTCTTTTTGGGGCACGGCGGAGTCCTTGGGTCCTTTTTCGGGTGGACCAGTGGATGCTAGCCTGGGTGGTTTAGGCCAGGGACCTGCAGAAAAGGGTGTCTTTGTAATGCTTTGGCTTTGCACTGTCTTTTTTGTAGGGTTTGCCTCCAACATGGAGCTTTCATTTCTTTCTTCTTCTACTGGATCTCCAAGAAGGAATGATTTTGAGACTAGACTGGGACGCGCAAGAGCCAGTTCATCATCCAGTGCCACTTTCCACGGTCTACACGGTTGGGCAGGACGCTCTTTACAACCCCCCGTCTGGGCCTTGGCAGTACGATGACTATTACCTTATTACCCCATCATACCACTTGCTACACGGCCGGTTTGCTGCGAAAATCCCAGCTCGCTCTCATCTGGTGGAGGTGTAGGACACCAAGCATGCTTGACCGACGGTGGTGGTCGTCACTCGCGCCTTCCCCCCCAAGGAATGCTGCCGATCCGCTGGGCTGCGTGGTTCGGGGCTCCCGGGTGACCACGGATTGGGCGAATTTGCATGGATCCCATGCGGTCCTCCACGGAGGGAGACACTGGGGGGGGTACGGTCCGCTCGGAGCATGATGAGAAGCTCTCCCCCCAAACATTGGAAGGGAGACGCTGATGTGAAGCTTAGCTCTACATGGGGTGTTTGCTACTTCTGCTGTACCTGTCGCTTTTGCTGTACCTGCAGCCTGCAGGGAAGTCGATGGTCCCAGCACCTGTGGACCCTGCACCCTTGGTCACTCTTTGAGACCTTCTGAAGGCCCAGGGCACCCAACCCTCCCAAGAACGAGGTCTCTACGTGTTAGGAGTTTGGGTGCACCACCGTGCCTGTTAGGAGTTGGTCGCACCACAAACTGACTGGGAAAAACGACGAAGGTCGTAGGGAATGAGGGAAGGAGTGAAGCCCAGAAATCGGATTGGATCCATTCCTTTGATTTTGGCAGGTCCTTTGGATCCCACCCTACTTACTTGGACGTCTGCCACCCGCTAGCCATCCGCTCCAGGATGGCGGGCAATGGCCACCGGTCGATCTGTCGCAAGTGCAGACCGAAGATGCTGGGGACGCCCGGGCGTCTCTTTGACCGGTGGGGCCTCTCTCCGGTCGGGTCGGGTCGTCGGACGGTCACCGGGCAAGGACCAGTGGAGAGGGGAAAAAAGGGGGGACGAAAGCACGTCACCAGTCAAAACAAGTCGAAAGACATCCTAAAGGCATCCTAAAAAGAGGGTAGGCTTTTGATGTCCATGGCTTAGGGTGTCTTTAGGATTGTTTGCTTTTCCCACCTTGCTTCCAGGTCTCGGACCCTCTCTCTCCCCTTCCCCTTCACCTCCACGGTCGGCGGAGCGAACGCAAGCTGAAACGGAGCCCGGGCGCCGACCCCAGGCCAACCGCCGAAAGGAAGGGACCCTGTCGATGAAAGGTTTGGGACCCTTTGGGATCCAGGCTTTTTCAGAGAACTTCTTTGGATCGACGTGAAAGAGCGCATTTTAGGTCGTCTTCTTCACATTCTCAACAGTGGTTTGGGTGAGAGTTTTGCTTGGAAGGCCCCTCCAACAGATCCACACTGGAACTGGAAGGGCGGTGTATTGCACTCGGTGCCCATTCCGATTCATAAGGGATGGGGTTCCCATTCATTTCACCGCTCAATCATTTTGGGTGGAGTCATCGACCAAGACTCCCTTCACCAACTTTGGTCCTCCAACTTCGGGCGTCATCCACTTCCACCCTTTTCCGGTGGGCTGCAGGTGCTGATCTTTTCGGACAACTATGGCTATTGCAAGGACATCCTAAACCAGGTGGAGCTGGGTGGTCTGCCCAAACCGCGAGCGATTTCTCGCCCCACGTGGGACCGGACCGTGGGTGGGACCGTGGACCACTCCGGCGCCCGCGGAGTGGTGGGCCGGCCCTCTCCATTGCCTCTCATGAGGGGGGGCGATGTGCGGAACTGGCATTTGCTTCTCATGAAGTAGCTTTTTCTGACACAGTGGCGACTTTAGCCAAGGATCTGAGTGACCTGAGCATCCTTGCCCAGGGCATCCAAGAGCCACCCCTTTCACCCCCAAGGGGGGAGGGGTTCGCCGCGCCCACCGCCGGGTGTGTCCGACCCGCGGCCGGTCGACGTTCCCTGCGGCCGTGGCCAGGCGCCTCCCGGGCGGATTGGCAACAAGAACGCCGGGGGGCCCCAGAGTCGAGCACAAATCGGCTCTCTCTCTCTCTCTATCCTTTTTTTTTCTTCTCTTTTTTCTCAGAAGGAGGACGCCCGACAGTTTTTTGGATGGGTATATAATTAGAAGGTATCTTTCATTGAGGTATGATTGGATTTTGCTGTCAATCTTGAAGGGAAGGAAGAGATACATCTACGTCTGTGCAGGGACGGCACATCTGTTTTATCCTCGAAGACAATGACCGCACACACAGATCCGCAGGTTGAGATCTGCAGGTTTTGTGTCGAACCCAAATGTATCTCCAAGAGGAACAGGTCAGTTTCTGTATGATGTGAATCCGGACAGAATCCAGACAGTCATCTCAAAAGGATACGACCCATCGAGTACGGGGCGGGTATGGCGAGATGAACTCTAACAACTCTCATCACGAAAGGTAGCGGTTACGCTACCTGAGTTTTCCTTTTGCTTTAGCAAAAATGTATTAACCCAGAGCTGCAGCCTATCTCTCGGAGAAATGGTCCCCGACATCTTCGTTTGCTGGGGGGGGGGGGGCCCCCCCCCCCCCTTTTCAACTCCACCCTAGCGCGCCTCGGGGTCAACCGTTCGAAAACACTGTAAATATCAGTGTTTTCAGCTCTTCCAGTCCTCAGCAGTGACCAAAAATCATGGAATTTACAGCGTTTTTTGTGGCTGTCCGGCAAAAAACACCGCAAAAACCAATGGTTTTTGATGCGTCTCGGTTAGAAAAATGACCGAAAAAAGACCAAAAATCAGGAAAGATTTTGTCAGAAAGGGTTTTTGAGGCTTTTGGAGGCTTCAAAATTGCACAAAACTATGGTATTTACAGGGTTTTGTGCACCTTCCCGGCAGAAAACGCCGGTATTTACACGGTTTTCTGCGCTTTTCCAGCGCTCAACCGTGGTGCGCCTTTGGATCGACGGCTACAAAATACCGTAAATACCAGTGTTTTCAGCCCCTCCTGTCTTCAAGCGTGGCCTTAGACCTTGCCGCGGCTGTGGATCGACGGCAACGAAACCTCGTAAATACCAGTGTTTTTGAGCACGTCCTGTTTGCAAGCATGGCCTGCGGCCACGCAACTTACAGGGTCGCCGCACGTCACTATGTAAATCCGAAGTTGCATTTGAGAAATATGTGACTCCTTTTGAAGGCACGTCAACCTGTATTGAAACCGCTAGACCGCTACAGCTTCTGGAGGTTTTGTCAAGCGTTTGTGCATTAGTTTTTCTTTCATCACGCTCACTCACTTCTCTTCAAACAAGTGGGGGGCCTCTCACCTCCTCCCGGATTATGCCTGATTCCCTGCTACCTTTCGTTCACCACCCTCCTCTCTCAAGTGCACAAGAAGAGCTACCAGCAGTTGAGACGATCAAGAACCTCCAATCACCCTTGATGTTTTCTGAGAACACCAAAGTGGCTGAGTCTCTCACGGAAGAGTGGGTGGGGTCCGCCACTCCTTTACACTCCTCAAGTTATAGAGAATGACCATTGACCAACGCAGGTTCGGTTCTCACAAATGGACTGTTTTTGGCGGTTTTTCGATCTGCAGGTGCAAACAAAGGCGGCTGACAAGTATACTGAGAAGGATGTGCAGACCTTGGATGACGTGGGACGGTCGAGATTGCAGGGTTTGAAAGAGGTTCGAGGCCAGCAGAATGGGATGAGTTCCCTTTTTCGAGCTTTATCAAGTCAAGATTGATATTTAAAGCAAAGTGTTGGTCACGAGCGAAACTGCAGTTTCTGCAAAATCACATACTCCTCAGGTCCACATTCACTGCACACTCAGTTTAAACAACAAGATCAGAATCACAATAAAAAAGCTATCTACAAAACCTCAAAAAGTCAAACTCGCACAGTTCCCTCCCCCCTCAAAACACAGCAGCTCCCACCCTTGCTTTGGAGGGCTTTTCCATCGTTGTTCTGGTGGGCGTGTTTCACCCTTTTCGGAAGGTCGCCGGGTCGCCGACCAAGCAAAACCGGAGGTGCAGAAGGTGGTGGGCAGCCAGGCCTGGGACATGATCATCTTCGCCCCTTGGTGGCCGTCAGCGCCCGGGGAAGCAACGGAGGGAGACGCGGAGACGCCAGGAAAAGGGAAAGGGCGGGAAAGGGGAGAGCACCCCTTGGTCAGGTAGTTCTGCGAAATGGGAGGGAACAGCAGAAGACTTGTCTTGACATCTCTCCCTTCGACCAGGTGCTACCGTGCAGTTGGTGGTTGCTGGGAGCACCAACGTTGAGAGACATGGAGTTGGAGTTGTCCGATACATTTCCACCACAGGCTTTGTGTCCGAAACCCTCTCCCCCCAATATACATCAGGGAGGCGGAATCCAGCACCTGTTTGGCATTCATGGTCATCCGAACACCTTCCAGGGAGTCGGATGCCGGCAGAACAGACACCGGTGCGCTTGCTACAGACACCGACCTCCAAAAAAGGAGAAGCCAAGCCGAATCTGAAGGAGGCCCACCCGGCTCGGGGAGGTTGAGACTGGATGGACCACGCCACTTGCTGCTTGCTCGGCCGAGGCCCTGGGCATCGATCTGCCGGAGAGTAGCGAGCTGGCCGATGTGCACAAGCAGCAGGAGCTCTGGTGTTGGGGGGTGTATAAGGCCCGATGCTGCATGGAGAAGGAAGAGAGGTATAGGACTTTATCCGTGGTTTTGGGGCTTGATTGAAGAAAGGGGGGTGGTGGGAGCTGGAGGGAAGACCCTTTACCTTCCAAGTTCGTGAGGATTTTTCCTTTCCGCGTGTCCCTCATGATGCGCGTGACATGTGGTGACTCTGTGAACCGCCATGTCTTCCAGCCAGGATGCGGTCATGAAGCGCACCCGCCATGGCTTCTGTGGAGAACTGCTGGCTCTGGGGTCGCACGCGGGCACCCTGGTTGACCCCGGGTCAAATGAACCGGACTCCTTTATGTTCGGGTGTTAACCTGACCCTGGTTTGGTGAGGGAGGTTTTCACTCGCAGGTTTTTTTTGCCTTTGTAGCAGTGGTGCAGCAAGTGTCACGGGTTGTCCAGCGTTCTCCATGTCAGGATCGGCCTTTCATACCAGGGCCCCCCCCGACATGTCTGGAAGTCGATTCGATGGCAAAAAGCTGATCTGGGGTGTCCGAGAAGTACCCCACTAAGTCGTGGGTCCTGGTTGGCGGGTTGATCTTCCAACATATGGGACCGAGGTGTGAGGTGCTTCGGACCGCAGCTTTTGTCAGTCAAGCCTTGGTGATTGAAACCTTGCGACCGAACTCCCAGGGTTCGACCGAACTCCCAGGGTTCGACCGAACTCCCAGGGTTCGAACATTCATGTTGCTCCTCCAGATCGTTTGCTGTGTATGGCTGTGTATTCTGTTTTTCACATCTCTTTGTGACTGTACATGGTCTTCTGTTTCAGACATCCAACCCCTTATGAGTCCCGTGATCGCAGTACACGGCCCCTCCCTTCTTGGGGGGCTTCGGGGCTCCTCTGGCCACCGCCTGCGATGGGTTTTACGGTCGCTGCGGCAAGCCGCTGGGTAGTTGGAAAGACGCTGCCAGGGTCTTCCTCTGGATCTTGAAGAAATTAGCCGATGATGCGTCCAGATGTAAAAGGCTCAAGGGTCGGACTGCGGGTTTGGAAAGTAGCTCTCCAGCTTCTTGAAGCTTGAAGGAGTCTTTGATGTGAGTTGCAAACAACTTTTTGGAAGAACGTTTGCCATGTGTGCAGTCTAGCAGTGTTCTCTTAGATATTGATGTGAATGATTGATAATGCAGCTCATAGGGGGTCATCCTTCTGGTTGCGTTTGAATCTCTTTGTGCGCTTTCGCTGTCCGTGGTCGCGCAGTCCGAGTGTTCGATGTCCTGGAAGGATGTGTGTCATCACAGTGGACTGCTTCGCGGAAGAAAGAGAAATCCACGAGGAGATGTGTCGCGAAGATGCCTCGCCACGGTGTTTTGTCTCGCCTCCGACCGGGCACCCGCTCGCGTCAGTCCTCCGGAGTCCACCAAGCATCCGACAAGGCGGTCGCTGGCGACCTGGTCGCTGGCTTCCACTGGCGAATCAGTTGGAAGGGGTCCACTTTAGTAAGATCAGCCCATGTGACTCTGTGAAACAGAACCATCCCCTCCGTCTTTCACGTTGGAAAACGAGCGGTGACGGACTCGGTGACCGGCTCTGCTGTGGATTGAAGGTGGATCCAAATCTCACACCCTCCCCTTCGATCCGACAGGAAAACACAGGACTTGTCTTAGATCATCTTCGATCCGACAGGAACCTTTTGCTTCTGAGAATAGACATGAATTGGAAGACCCACCGAGGTCCCTTTGTCTAAGAACACCGACCAGCTTTAGGCCTCTAGGCGTCTAGGCAGATGAATCATCATATCCAACCCACCTAGTTCATTGCTTCACGCCATTCTACCACCATATGATTTATATATGATACTAGGGGTCCTTAAAGGAACGAGGCTATTCACCAGAACGACGCTTCCGGAGCGGCCAGGAGCTCGGCTTGAGCGTCATCACCAACGCTTGCCTCTTCGGCGCCTGTAACACCGCCAGGCCGATCCCAGAGATCCGTGGAAGGAAACCACTGCCACACCGGTTTCGTGGAGCGAGCGAACTCATGGAACTCACACGGAGCTCCCAGGGTTTCGGTTTCGTTCACCCTGTGAGTTAGTTCCGGTTTCCAGGGAAACCCAGGGAGCGAGCGAGTTCACCCTGTTTTGCTGCTTCGAAGCTTCATGAGTCTCCGAGTCTCCGGGCGCCATGTGGGCATTGTCCCAGTCTACGTCTGGATGCGGGACATGCCACGAAGAAAGGCTCTCCCTTCGAGCTCAGAACGGTGGGAACTCGGTTCGGCTTGGCTTGTCTCTTTTTGGTGAAAGACTGCACAGGAGGATAGATAATGTTCTCATACTGGTCTTTGTTTGCTTGTTTGTGATGTGAAGAGGACCATGTATGATTTAATAGATCATATGCAATCTGAAGGGGGTCGGAGTCTCAATTTGACATCGGTGTTGCAGTTTTTTCAAGGCACCCGATCAGGCCATGTCGAGCCATGCCATGTCATGTCGAGTCAGCCAGGGCAGAGGTGCCGTGTCCGGGCCCCGGTGTTGTATCGTGGCCGAGCATCTGGAACAAAGGATGGACCAAAGGAGGATGGGCATGAAGCGGAGGTTCTCCCCCAGCGTGCGCAGATCTGGCGCGGAAAGTGTGATAGAATGATTTTCAGCATCTGTTCTTGGAAAGAACAGGGTTTTCCTCGCAATTTTTAGGCCACTCAAACGATCTTGGACAGATCTTGGGCAGTTCTAGTCCTCCAAAAATGGACTGCAGAATCCTCAATGTAGTGACCTCCATCCACTGGAGCAGCCTTTCCACAGCATGCGTCGCGACTTGTCCCTCTCTTCGCCCTTCTTTTTCGAGGGTCTTTGCTCAAGTCGAGGCCCCATCCAGTATATCGACACCGAATGGGCGTTAAGGACGCTGGGAAGCGGAGTGGGCGTTTGAGGAGGGTCAAGATCCTACAGAGGGCCTCCGGGTTGGGATGGATGCCTGGATTTTGGGTTGATTTGCTGTATCTACACAGAGATCCATCCCAATCCATCCAATTTTGGATGTAGCACAAGAGGGTCAAATCCTGACTGATGAATGTATCTGCAGTGCCCTGTGTTTGGCCTGGATGGCTGGGGGCCTAAAGGATGAGTGATACCGTTACCATGTGATACCTGTATATGATGTCTTGGATCCGGGATAGAAGGCTGACCCAAGGATGGATTCAGATCTGGAGGGATGACGGATGATCGGATCTTAGGCCGGGTTCCGCTGAGAAAACTGGGCCAACTGATCCTTTCTTTTGTTGTGATGGGCTTTGTGTGTTTGTGATCAAGACCTGGGGGTGTTGCACACGAGACCTGGGGGTGTTTCTGATAAATTCTCGCACAGGAAGGAGAATGTCCCATACCTGGTGGCAGAGATGTTCAGACATGCCTCCTTCGGTGGCGAGCTTGGACAACGCCAACAGGGACTCGGAAAATGCCTCCGCTTCGCTTCGAGGTCGATGGTTGGAACAGAAGGATGGAAGCTGACGAAGAGAATGCTTTTTAAAGCAGCTTTAAGTCAGGCAAACTGATTAAACTACATTTTGTTTCAATTTCATTCTTTATTATACAATACTTTTTCGACATCTTTGGTTCAAGGACCTCTAAGACGTCATGGAGTTCAATGTCTTGGGCCTCTTGAACACCGGCATGGCTCTCTTCCCTCCCCTGTTGAGGTCACAATGCGGTGCGGATCCTGAACAAGGGCCGCTACGTGCCCGGAGCCCGGTTGTGTGTCGGTGCGGGCCGGCGGTTCAACGTGGTTCAACGTGGAGAAGAAGTGGCAAGAAGGGCAAATGCGAAGGTGGAATGTCAGTGAAAATCACTTGGGTTGGCACAGGAGGACCATGATTTTGGACATTTGGGTCTCCTATGGTCCGCCCCAAGAGGGTGTAGAAGAATATCATCCCCTTCACGTTCACTGTGACTCTCGGTCTTTATTGACACTCCTTTGTGGGTCCCGGTAGTCTGGTAGTGGTTGTATCGATTTTCCAGGCGCAGCAGCTCGCTTTTAGGGGGAAGTCAAGATGAACTCTTCTGGCGTATCCATGCACTCTGATGCACTCCGTACTGTGGCCACGTGTGTTGAAACCAGAGCGCCCCCCGGTGTTGAAGCACTCAACGTCTTGGGGTTTCCTCCACGCGGGAGCCAAGCCTTTTCAAGCACCCGGCGTGGAGGGTCCGACCGAGGCTGCGACAGATGTCTTGCAAGCCCTACATGCGAAAGCCCGAGTGGCAGCTGCCCGAGGAGTGGCCCACTTGGCGGGGTACCGTGCAGGGACCGGGGGTGTTTGGAGCTTCTAAAGAAGTCTGTTGGTTCGAGGTTTTAGCCCTCAGATTTAGGTTTGATCTTTGCACCCCAACAAGAGCATCGTATCTTTTGATGGCCCAAGAGGAAATTGGCAGATATCTGATATCTCAACCCTTCTGTATCCTCACCCACAAAGAAGGAAGAGTTGAATCATTCAACTCACCCCTCCCCCTTTTCCCCCCCTTTCCCCCCCCTTTTCCTCACCGCGTTGAGAACCGCCGCCGGTTCTTCCGTGGAATCGACGCACGGTTCCCAGGATGGCGTGATCGCCATCAGCGGCGGCAATGGCGCACTGGGCCTGGTGATGGGCCTTTGGCTCCTGCGGACGGCCCGGGACCTGGAGGGTGGGACCGGTGTGACTGGTGGGGCTTCGAGGGGCGTGGACTGGTGGGCTTCGAGGGGCTGCGGACGAACGGAAGCGAACGGAGGTGGAATGAAGGAGGATCGAAGCAGGGTGGACTTGACCTTAGTCAATCAGGTCAAAAGGGTTTTGAGGCCGGCTTGACACCGGGGCTTGAAACGGAGGCCAGCTCACTGCAGAACAATCTGAGGCTCAGAAGCAAGGCGGCAAGAAGTTCAGCATCCAGTTCTTGTCTAGGCCTGGAAGAGCAGCGCGCTTTCCTTCAAAGCTGACATGTTCTTTATGCCACCATCACAACAATTCCGTTGATTCAATGTCTTTCCCGCGGCAAAACTCCTTCTCACCCGCGCTTCCAAGTTGGACAAAGGCATTGGAGATGTGCAAGCAGCACTCGACTCTATCATCAGTCTCATCGGCGAAATGTCGCAACATCTGGAAAAACCCACTCTACTCCTCTACTGGTCTGCTCCTTCTTGCTGTCGAAGCTCGACCACTGGGCGGTTGACTCCGTGACTTCCAACCGCACCGGTGGAACTGGCCAGGTCGATGAAGATCAGTGAGCAGAACATGCCGAACTGGCAGGTGTGATCGGATGCGCGCGAAGAGAGAGCGAACGAGGCACCGGACGTTTCTGTTCCTACCGACTTCGTCAGAGTGCTGGGGGCAGCGGGTCCAGGGGTCCAGTCTTGAGAAGGAACGAATCGTCCATTTGGTCCATTCACCAGGGGGGGGGTGCAGGTCTGACGCCATCTCAATCACATCGCCATGTCTCTTCACTTGTCGATGCTGGGCGCAGTCACATCGCCCTGCGCTGGCTGCGCGCGCCGCTGAAATGGACACCAGCCTCACCTGGTTTTCAGGGCCGCTGTTGGTCGTTTCTTTGCAGGAGGTGCAGAATCTGGCGCAGAGTCTCGGGATCCATGTGGAACAGGCCAAATGCGATGTCAGCAAGCAGGAGCCCCCTGCTGCTCTGATTTGCCTCGCGTTGTGGGTTTGGGGGGACGGGTGCCTGTGACGAGCGGGAGTGGTTTCTGCCAGCTCATGGAGGCTTTTTGCCCAAGCTGGAGGTTTGGTGTTTACATCAGCTTTACCGGGCCGAGATCAATGAGATCTCCCCAAATCCTGACAACCTCTTCTCATGAATCATGAAAATCACTTCTTTTTCCGCCCACCTGCTTGGGCTTCCGACCTGTCGGCTTCTTTAGTCCCTGCTTGGGCCCGCGTCACCTCAGGAGTCAGTGGAAAGCTTCGTGAAGAGCGTCACACCCAACCTGGCAGGAGCGGTTCGGATCGGTCTCGTGGAGGTCCACCCAACCTGGTGGACGCAGAGGTCTCAGTTCAAAGTCCGCATCCAAATCCAAACGATCATTTTAAACATGTTTCAGGTCTGGCAGGCTTGGGTGAACATGTATTCATTACTGCCATAGGTTTGAACCAACGAATGTTTTGGCTCAAGTGACTTGGCCAAAATAGCGTTTGTTCTCTCTTTTTGAGGGCGGAACCCTTGGAGAGACAGTTCTTTTTTGTGCAGGGAGGGACCCTGTTTTCCCATGAGCGAGTTGGGAACAAGCCTTGCTGCCTACACCAGGTACCAGGTGATCCATGCCGCCGCGTGGATGGAGTTCAGCGCTCACCTTCAGGAGCTGGTTGCTGAGGGGCGCGAGCGGGAAGCTTTGCGCCTCTGGGCCTCCGTGGTGGAGTGGGTGCATCTGGGGTCTCCAGGGCAACCCCTCTCCATCGCTGGGTTCCCCCCGGTTCGTCGGTTCGTATGTACCACCATTCCGTGTGCAAGGTGCACCGACCGTCGGGGCGGCTTCCAGTTCCCATGGGTGGGCGTATGGAACCGCCGCTGCTTGCTGGTTCAAGAGGGACTTGGGCCAGCGGTCGCGTGGCAGCGCTACCATGCCTCTGCGGCGCGCTTGGACCGCCTGGCGCTGCAGTGGATTGCCTTCGACCTGGGCCCGTTGGACATCTTGCCGGTCCACGTTGGTTTGGCCGTGGAGCGGCTGGACGACGGGGACGATGGCATCGACACCGAGGAGTTCTTCGAGCTGGTTCGGCTTTGGCAGCAGGGGCGGCGGCCATGGCGGGAACCATGGTCGTCCCTGGTTGGGACCCCAGGTATTCCCGGGAAGTTGCGAATGCAGGCCGATCCATCCGTGCGATCCTGGGGGCCGTGGCCTATGACGTTGAGTTCATCCCCCCCCCTCTGCCTCCTTTGTCGCCTGCCCACGTTCGAGTCCTGTCGAGTCTGTCGATCGATCGTTTGTGAAAGCTGCAACTTCTGGTCACGGCAGTGCCCGTTGTGCATCGACAGTTCTGGCTCAGACTAGTGCGATAGTCCTTGCAGGGCTCATGGCTGACAGGGGGCGTTATGCGGTCGAGTCAGCGGGGAGCTCCAGGTGGGACCCGGAGACCTCGTCTGAAGTGGCCCAAGCCGCCCGTGTTCGCGAGTTCAGGGAGCAATACCACCTCTTGGACGACGCGGACTTTGCCTTTGCCTTTCGGTCAGCGGAAGAGGCCTTGTTGGCCGGGGGCCGGGGATTGGCCGATGCTTGGACCAAGGCCCGCTCCGAGCAGACTGAGGAGCTGATGCCGTTGGCGGCCTCTACAGTGGAAGCTGGCTCGAGTCGCGACAGGCCGGCCCATGCTCTTCACCTACCCGCTCCTCCAGTGCCTGTTCGGAAGGGAGTGACCCTTTCTCAACAAGCTTTCAGTGCTGACAGTGTGAACAGGCGAGTGGAAGCGCTGGCCAAGGTGTTTGAGGACGCCGGGATTCATCGCCCTTCCGTGGGGAACCTCTCAGATGCGATCCTAGCGGAGTGGAAACTGCAACTCACTCGATTGGCGCAGGTCAAAGTGACCAAATCTGAACCTCAGACAGTGGTGAACGCTGTGCGCACGTGGTCGGAATTGGTCAGCTTTATGCGCTCTCGAGACAGGACTACGATCGAGCATTTGGATTTGGCGTCATTCCTGGCCTCCGGCTCCAAAGGACCCAAGTGGGCATTGAACTCGCTTCGCTGGTTGAATAAACTGGGGCATTTGGGGTGGCAGTTGGATGCGATCGTGCTGGATCCACCTGCCTCACGGCGGGCAGCTGCGCGATCCCAGGCTCTCGTTGTCGAGCCGCCCATGCTTACCCACTTGGAGCGTGGCATCAAGGAAGCCTTCACCCGACAGGACCCTCGCTGGACTGCGATGTTGGGGAGTTGGATCGTTGGCGTAGGGGTACTACGCTACCGGCATGTCCAACGTGCTCAGATGGTGCGATTGTCCCGCTCAACGCTGTACTGCCATTGCCCCAAAGGGAAGCAGGCGAGCAAACGTGATGGCTTCGATTTCTCCATCCCTTCGCAGTTCACAGATGGCTGGCCCTGGGCAGAGCATGTGGTGGCCCTTCGGAACCAGTTGCCCAAGGCCCAACGAGATGCAGGCGGCCTCTGCTTCAATCGGGAGGGCCGCGCGTGGGACATCTCTGAGGTGCAAGCCGCAGGTCGTGAGCTGTTCCAGGACCTTGTGACCGACGTGGCCGACCTCTCCACCTACTCGTGGCGCCGGCTCATGCCCACGGTGTCTTTGCTGGCCAAGTACACCCCGGTTGAGATGGTGGCCTTGGGGGATTGGCAATCCAAGAGTGAGCTACCTCAGGAGGCCGCCATGCCGACACACTATGCAGGCAGCCGTGATCTCGTTAGCATGAGGCTCAAACATCTGTCGCTGGGACTTGTCGCCAGGTTGGGCGAATTTGATGCCTGGGAGCTGGCCACTCCAGCCGCCATCACTGCCGCAGTGGACGCGGCCAAGCCCGAGGTGCAGCGGGCAGTGAGCCTCGACAAGCACAGCTTGTGGGACAAGCCGATGTCGGTGGCAGCAGCGCAGCGCGCGTTCGCCTTCTCGCGAGAGCGTGCAGCGCTCACAAGAGCGGCGCAAGCTAGTTCCAAGCGCTCCGAGGCTGTGATGCCCCCTTCCATCAATGGCAAGGTGGTCACTCGTTTCCTGAGGAACGGCAAGGCGCTATGCCCCAACTTTCAGTTGGACGCCTGCCACGTGGGCGAGGGGACCTGTGGTGAAGCCCACCTTTGCGCCATCGTGCTGAAGACTGGCCGTGCCTGCGGAGGGAAGCATCCAGCTCAGGCTTGCTTGGCAAAGCGCTATGTGGTGGCCGAGGACGTCGAGCACACCCCTCTGGCGAATGTCGCAGTGCCCAGCACCGCAGAGCCAGTTGCTCTCCCTGTGGCCGACACCCCTGAGGCTCCACATCGTTCATCATCGCCAGAGAGCACCTCCAGTGAAGATGAGTCCTCAGCAGGCCCTCGCTCCCCGAGCGCGTCCCCGAGTCCAGTCCCTGCTCCCAAGGCCAAGAAGGCGCGCACCGTGCCACCCCCGGACACTGAGGCAGCACCCTCCCCAGCGCAGCCCGTGGCGCCCAAGGCAATGCCGCCCTCGGTGGCAGCGACAGCTGTGGCGCCCACCATGGCGAGCAGCAGCAGCCGAAGCAACGGAGGCTCCCAGCGACATCTTCGAGATGCCTGAGCCCCCGGCCGCGTTCACACCCAATGTGCACGACCAGCGGTGGGACCGCTTGGCCACTGTGCGGGGGAAGAGCGCGCAGGCACCGACCAAAGTGCTGTCCGTCCAAAGTGGCGGCACGTTGTGGTTGGGTGGATTGCCTACGAACAGGTCAGCATCAGCCTTTCCATCCGTCACTCTTCAAGTGGCATGCATGCTTGAGGAGCCTTCGCAGCGGGGTGGCATTTGCTTGCAGGGAGCGACCCTGCGCAAGTTCGCTATCGCCCACCCTGATAGGCGAGACGAGCAATGGCGCGACCTGTTTCCGCTCCTGTGCAACACGTTGTGGGGAGGTGAGGATGTGCTCCTCCACTGCATTAGTGGCCGGCATCGCGCGGCGGGTACCGCGTGTATGATCCGAGCCATTATGCTCCGGGAGCGCTTCGAAGCAGCTTGGGACTACTTGGCAAGTGTGAGGGATGTCGACATCCAAGGCTTGCTGAGAGACAGGGCCTTGGCTGGTTGGATCCATGAGACCCTTCGCACATCTAGTCTGGGCAATGCCTGGCCCCGCCAACCGGATACATCGCGACCGCCCGCAGTCAGCTGCGCATCCAGGGCTATGAGGACACTCCCCTTTGCTCACATCGTCAGAGCGGCCAGAAGGGCAAAGGGCGTTTGGCAAACCCGTCGAAGTGTACCTCGAAGATGGAGGCGATTGCCTGGGGCAGGCCAACATGCCAAGTTTGTGCCAATAGAGCACCAGCCTCCTGGATCCCTTGAGGAGGCTGTGGCACCTGTTTTCATCTTGTCGCACAGCGACACATAAGAGCAGCTAGCCCCCTTTTGGTGATGGAGTGATCCGTTGCCCGTGGCGAGCTTGACCAAGACAGCGTGAAAACAGAGTGCAGTCTCCTGACAGGGGTATTCGGCGGGGGGGGAGTTTCGCCTAGGCGGGTAGGATCGAGGTGCAGGGAGAATTGACCGAGCCGCAGAAGCATGTCCATGAGGACGTCGTTCGGTCTGTCCCTATGTCTTCCTTCCCCCCCCCCCCGTCTCTGGACTCGTCACGGCCGTAGTCATTGTGCAGGAGGAGAGGGACTCCTCCGAGCGGGCAGCTTTGGCTTAGGCGCGTGGGAAGGGATCCCCGAGACAGCATGGCTAGTTCTTTGAGCTTAGTGCCGAGGGAGTCTTCGAGGATTGAAGATTCTCTGAAGGCGCTAGGCACGAACTTCAGCCTTGACCCTGTTGTTGTGGAAGCCTTGATCAAGACCGGTATCTCTAATTTTGAAGAATTTCGATTTTTCTTTGACAGTGAGGGCGCGGTTGAGCCATGGCTCTCAAAGCTGTCGCTTGGGGATGGCAAGATGCTTCAGGTGTCCCGCTTGCGGCGGGCATGGCACGCCATCACCCTCTATTTCAGGCAAATGGAGCAAGATCGCTCCAAGGTGGCCTCTGATGACCTCGATTCCATGCTTGGAGAGACCGAGCTGAGGGACACCAAGGTCAGCTTCTGGCGGAGGTACCGCCAACGATTTCCCCCGGAGGTGCATCCGTCTGACTCCACCCTCTCGAGGGTGAGCCGAGAGATGAGCAAGAGGATGCTGTGCGTGTTCTCCATATGGAAGGTCAAGTCTTTGCAGTTTCAATTGATGACTACGCAGAAGAAGCGCAAACTCGGCGACAACTTGTTCACTGAGGAAGTTGAAGAAGAAGAGCCGTCCGCCCGTGACACCGAGGCCTATTTGGACAAGTTGCAGACGTTGATGGTGGCGTACTCCATGGCAGGGGTGGGACCTTTGCCTGCGCCAGGGCCAGGGTTTGATCCCAAAGAAGAATTGACTTTGGGAGCAGACAGCACCCGATTCGCCCAAGTGCCACTGGACATCGCAATGCAATACTTCTATCGAGCGAAACGAGCCACGGCCGCACTCCCTCCAGGCAAACGGCTGGCATGGCTCCAAACCCGTGATGCCGAAGAACGGGCAGAGTGGACGGCACGTTTTCGGGAAAGCTCTCAGTCGCTCGGCGTCATCATCAAAGAAGTCTACCAAGCGCGAGATGCACACTGGCTGCCGCCCACACCAGCCGAGCCAGCGTCCACCGCCCCGGGGAAGAGCGCTCCGCCAGCCGCCGCTCCAGCAGCCTCCAAGTTTGCATTGGGGAAATCGATCCAAGGCAAACAGGTGGCCAGGGTACTCCGTGATGGGACGCTCCTTTGCCAGGCATTCCAGGAAGGATCTTGCAAGAGTAAGGGGGGCAAATGCAAGCTTGGCCAACATCGTTGCGGCCACGTTACCAAGAAGGAGCGGGTGTGTGGAGCTCCGAACCATGGGGCGGCAGCTTGCCGCAACACCCCGAAGGCCTGACGGGGCCTTGAAGAGGCAGCGGCAGCCTCTTCAGGGTCTGTTGAGGATCCGCCGCACTCAGGGGAGGGACCCCTGATGGCCGACCTGATGTCAGGACCCAATGCACCGCTCACCAGAGCCTTCATCTTTTGCGGTTGGAGATGCATCACCATCGACTGGTTGATCAACCCTCAACATGACCTCGCACACCCGGAGTTTCAGCAAGAGCTTCATGAGACGTTGCAGCAAGCCGATTGCATCTGTGCCGCTTTGGACTGTAGCACCAAGTCCCGCGCTCGAGAGATTCCCAGGAAGTTCGAGGACGGCCGACCCGCTCCGAAACCCCTGCGGTCCGACGAACACCCCACAGGCCTGCCACACCTCCGAGGGAGTGACCTTCGGCGAGTGACCAAGGACAACCAGGCCTGTGACTTTGTCCTCCAGGAAATCCAGGAATTGGCCGATCGTGGTGGAGTGTCACTGCGGGAGAATCCGGCGAGGAGCCTCCATTGGGAGCTGCCCCGTGAGAAGCAGATGTTGGCGTCCGGCGATTGGCAGGACACCTGCTACGCAGCATGTTGCTTCATGGGGGCGCGGTGCAAGCAGCAGAGACTCAGGCACAACATCCAGGAGATCTCCCAGTGGCCGCCACTCCAATGCCATCATCAGCACGACCCAGATGAGTGGAAGCCCTACACCTTGGATGGGCAGCGAGTCTTCCCTAGCCATGACGAAGCTGAGTACACAGCCCCGCTGGCCTTCGCCATTGCGGTGTCCACTAGTTGGTGGGCAGTACGTGTTGGTCGAGCCAAGTTGCGCGTCCCTCGGATGCCGCCGACTGAGACTGTGGGCCGCCGGGAGCACTGGCTTCACTACGACCCCCGCTCTATGCGCAGCTGGGCTATGACTCCTTTGGCGATCCAGCTGGGCCTGCGACCAATCGACCCGCGCGAGCGAGCACGGGTGCCTCGCGTGCGTCGAGCAGTCGACCTCTTGGTGGATGGCCACCTTCCATCCAAGTGCATCTACGTAGGGCGAGGGCATCACAGCCACAAGTTGCCCCTGTCGAAATGGTGCTCTCCGTACACCCCAGGGCATGATTGTACCGCAGATGAATGGCTGCCTTGCTATGTTGAGTTCATCATGTCATCCAGGGCGGCGGAACTCCCAGAGCTGGCGGGCTGCACCTTAGCCTGTGATTGTCCACATGACAGTGACGTGTGCGAAGCTGATGCGCTGGCAGGGTTGGTTTTTGACGCCACAGCTCCGGAAGCACCTCGCTACTTGGCAGCGGCAAGCGGGCAAGCCCAGAGGCATCACTCGACAGCATCTCGCGCATTGCGGTTGGGGGTCATCTCCAGCCGCGGAGTGGCTGCGAGCATCCCAGCACGAGTGGGCCTATTCACCCAAGAAGGCGTGGTCACGTGCTTCCGCCGCCTCTTCCCAGGTACATGGTTCCAGGACTTCAAGTTTCCGATGATCGAAGACCTCCTGAATCAGGCACCGTTCTGCGAGTTTCCACGCTGGAGAGACCAGCACGATCTCAAGGCAGATGGGCCCCTGGGACCACATTTGGCTAGCGCAGCTCTGAGACAGCGGCAACGTCATGCCTAGGGCCAGCAAGCCGGAGCTTTGAGCCATAAAGCCGCCCTACCTCCGCTTTTGAGTTTTGGGCTGGACCCGGACACCCACTTTCAGCGTGCTTGCCTTCGAAGCCAGGCACCCATCCCGACTGAGCAGTCGCCCCTCCTGGACGATGATCTATGGTTTGTGGCTGAACTCTATGCATCACGTTCCGAAGACCTACCACGACTCCGCGAGCAGAGCCTAGGCATCTTGAAGGAGCTGAAGCAGCGATGGGGGAGCGTGGGCGAGCACCTGCGGACTTTCCAAACATCAGCGATTCGGGCAGTCACCCGTTCCAGGGACATCGGCCTAACCGCCCTCTTGGTGACCCTAACGTCCTGGGCGGACATCACGTACCCTTACGGCTTGGTAGCGGGACTGCCAGCTGTAGGTACGGCACCACCCTACGGGGTCTTTCCGGAGCAGCCAGGTCGTAGCCTCACCATGGAGGACGTGCTTGACGACTGGGAAACCCACAACTACAAGACCCTCGCCGCGCTCAAACCCGGCAGACATGATGCCGTGCTGCTGGAGCAATCGCTGAATGATGCCGCCCAAGGCTTCTGCTCTGCACCGTTGACCCAGGCGCAGCTCCTACGAGAACTACGAGGAGAACCATTCCGCCTCATCCCCCGATGTGTGATTGTCCAATCCTCGGGCAAAAAGCGGATCATTGATAATGGAGATACAGGAGGCCAGTCTGAGAGGTCGTCGGATTGGAACAAATTGGTGCTATGCTCGCCGTTGCGCCCAGCACAACATGTGGGGGCAGTTGCTTCACTGTTGACAGACGAACAGTGGCATACCCTTACGACTGCTGACGAGTGGCAGTCAGGAGGGGAAGATTGGCCGAACGCGTATCGGCATTCCCCTATCAGTCAGGCAGAGAGCCGCGGCTGTATCGTCTGCTTCTGGCATGCTGAGCGGGGGGAACCCGCCTTTCAGGTGTATTCATCCCTCCTCTTCGGCCTTCCGCTCGCGGTTACATCGTTCAATCGGTATTCACGCCTCATTGAAGCTCTGGGCCGACGGCTTACATACAGTCTGGTGTCGCTCTATTTCGATGACGCCCACATCACGGACCTCCAGTCAGGCCTCGGCTCGAGCCAACAAGCTTTCTGTCAGTTGAACACCCTCTTAGGTACCCCGTTTGCCGAGGAGAAGAAACAGTTGATGCAGCCTACCGGTACCTTTCTGGGCCTTGATCACGACTTTACGAACCTCAGTCGGGGCTTCGTGACGTTTTGGGCCCGCGATCGATTGATTCAGAAGACAGCTGCGATGATTACCGAGGCACAGACACACAACAGCCTGTCCTCAGGCCAGGCATCCAAGCTCTACGGCATGCTCAATTTTCTCGAGCAGGGCATGTACGGAAGGTTGGGATGCGCAGGTCTGGCAGCCATTAAAGCACGCCAGACAGAGCGCAACCGCGACCTCACTCCAGAGCTTCAGCGCAACTTCGATGTGATTCACTCCATCCTCCGCCATCGACCCTGTCGAGAACTTCCCGTGAGGCCGTCCGAATGTTTGCGGTTTGTTGTAGCCTCTGACGCAGCTTTGGAGGAACCAAAGCAGGGCACCGGAGGATTTTTAATCGTCTGGCACGATCCGGTGGGACCGGTTCGGGAAGCCTTCATCGCCAACATTTCTCCGGAAGTTTACCAGCTGTGGGAGCCTGGAGATAGGCAGATAGCCCAGTTGGAAATGGTGATGATCATTCATGCCCTCACATATCGGGCGCAGGCCTTTCGAGGTCGTCGAGGCATCTGGCTGATCGACAACGTCGCTAGCCTCATGTGTCTGATTCGGGGCCGTTCCCAGTCACCCGATCTGGAGCGCATGTGTGGTTTGATTCATGTCATGCTGTACGCTTTGCGTACCTGGATGTATTGGGAATACATCCCGTCTAAGAGTAATTGGGCCGACGCCATTTCAAGACTAGGTTGGTCCGATCCGTGGTGGCGAACCAACGGATTCACCCCTTTTTCCGTCTCTTGCCCTCTCTGCCTTTGGCACCTTCCGCTGCCAGCAGTGATCCGAGTCGTAGAATTTCTCTAAGTGCGTTGGGAGGATTTGAAGTGCATTGGGAGTGGTTTCCGGAGTGACCGGAAGGATACCACAAGGGTCTGATT